TGTATTTATTTGCAAAGTTGTTGCCATAGCTTTGGCTTCTTTTTTTAGACCATCCTTACCATGTAGTGACTTCTCCAAAAACCGACCATGACAAGGTCAATGTCCTCTACCTTAGCATTTGTTTATATGAACCCCCTTGCTGTTGTTGGCACCTTATTCCAGTTCCTCACCTTTTTTTTTTTTTTCTCTATGTTAATGGGCTTTTTCCAATTAATCTTCACCATTGAGATTTTTTTCTCCTGGTTTTAAAGGTACAGTCAGATAGAAAAGTATTGGCTCCTCCTGTCTCCAAGATGATGAAGAACCTTGTTTTACAAATGGCCAGTGCAACTACTGTGATTGGGACCCAAGGCTACATTATTTTCCCTTGTAATCATATTGTTAGATGAAGGAAAAAGACAGGCCGCTAGAGAGAGTATTAAAAGATCTTAGGCATGTGACAGGTCTTAAGGCCTATAACTGCGCTGCAGAAAGCCTCTCATTTATCTGCCTCTCAGTAAGAATCTCTACAAATAGAAACATTTAACGTTATTTTGTTCCTAAAGATATAAAAATACATACATTCTAATTGCACTTTGGAGAAGGAAAATAAGTAAAGACAATTGCGCCATTCCCCATTAGTGGAAAGCCCCACAGTTGACCTGCCTCGAGCACTTCCAATATCACTGAATCCCTTGGGTGGGATTTTCCAAAGTGCCAGCATTAGCTCAGCCCTGATCCCATTAAAATCAATTACTGACTTCAGCCTGGAAGGAGAGTCTAGATAGTCCCTGTGGTGCCCTGTATGTTGGAAGATCCTAATCTTTGTGTGTGCTGTTGCTTCCCTATATTTATGTGCAAGGCTTCACGGGTGCTCAGGTACAGTCATGAGGGCCAGGTTTTTCCTCAGAGGAGCCAGGAAGTCAGTTGTGCAGAATAAAGAGTAATGGAGGGTAATATAAATCATGGAGGGAAGGGGAACTTCACATAAGATGAAACTTCATCAAGTGTCTAGTAAAGTCAGTTAATTGCAGCCTCTATGCCACAATTCACACAGTAAAACCTTCCAAAGTATGTTTTCAGTGCTACTTCACAGAGTACATTTTCTATCTATGGAATCCAATTGCCATAGGCAGTCATTAAGGCAAAGACTTTAGTAGAACGTAAAAAGGGATTTAGGAAGCTTTGTGAGCAAAGACAACATTTGTGGCTGCATGTACTGGATTACAACAATGCAGGGGATAAACAAGCTTCCTGCTTCAGCAACATAAGATGATTGCTTTGAGGGTCAAGAAGAAATGTTTTCTTGCCATGTGTTAGCCCCACTGATTTATTGAGATAAGGGATGGGATGGTTTGAGTTTTCACTAAAAGGAGTGATGATGATAACAAATGCTATAAGTAGATTATTTGCTAGTCTATATTTTGTTAATGCTGACACTTCCATTAAAAGAGTATCAATCACTAAGTCTGTGATAAAGAGAAATCTCTCAAGCAAGGGACTGGTTTGGCACTGGTGAGAGCAGAATTCAGGCCTTGGCTATGAACAAGATTTCCTTTCTGACTGCAGGGAGGTAGTTTACTCTCTCTGTGCTTTAAATCATCACCTGAGAAATGGGAAGACAGTACTTCTCTAGTTCTCGGAGGTGGAATGAAGGGAAAGTGCATAAAGAAGAGTGGTCATATTTTCATTCACAGTCATTCTGTGCTTTGGATTCAGAGCTGTCATCCTGCAGTAAATCAGGAGTACTTTAGCTGGAGTTAGTCAAGATCTTCCTGATTTACACTGATGAAATGACTTCAGAAAATGGTATTTTCATTCCATTGTTTGTGGTGCTCCTCTGTTTGAACTTGTTCCCACGTGCAAATAGCAATTGCCTTTCCTAAGAGCAGTAGCCCTGAGAAAGCTTAGCATCCTTAACCTAGAACATGAGCGGTTTCTGCAATGGGTTATGTATCGGGCTGGCTGGCTTGAAACCCCAGGAACTCTTGTCCAAGTCTGCATTCCTATTATGGACTACTGTTGTCATTGCACCTGTTGCTTCAAGGTCAAATCCTCTTCAAGATATTCTTGTTTACTCTGAACAGTAGATAAGATCTGAGAAAAGACATTTTTATTGTATAGGCTGGATGATCTGAATTATTTATGTTAATGGCTATGGGTGCTATACCTGTTGCTAAGAAATACTGTACTACTTCATCATAACTCCCATTTGGAAATGCCATTATAGCTACCTGAGCAGCAATAGATACAGTATAGGTTGAGGAAGCTATTGATGCACAGGAAAGGCTTTTTAATGATTTTGTACCTTGAACACTATAGTTGGCAAAAAAAATGATAAAGAAGCAGGTAGAAACAGTCAGACTTCTCTTCTCCTTGTTAGAGCTGGCAGGGGTCACAGGCACTCAAAGTTCCATGATGGGATAGCTGCATGTATATATAGATGTACCTATATATGTACATATATATAATTTTGATTAATAGAGTCTGCATCAGACCCAACTGCACTTCACCAAAATATGAAATTTCTACTGCACAAGTCATTGAGCTTTCTTGGGTCTAACAAAGCAAACAAGACGGGTGTTGTTTGTTTGGGTTTTTTTAATACTTTGAACTCTCATATTTCCAGCCTTTGCCTGGTATGTCCTTTATGGAAATTCCCCCAGCTGTCTAATGATTCAAAAGCCTGCATAACCTTTGTTTATTTATGTTTTCTTATTCAAAATTATTTAAATATAGAAAATAAAACCTTTAAAGGATTCAAAGTTAAGCTCAGCTGCCAACACTGCTTAGCTGTACTTAAAATTGAGCTTGATAGACACATTTAGAGAGAAAGGAAGGGTCAATAGCCATGGAATTATTGCCCTGATTAAAAACAATGATCTATTTTATCCTTTCTTATTTGGAAACAGATATGTATTTAACCTGACCTTTTAACCTACTCAGAAGGCTTAACTATTTTTATTATTTCATTAGCTGGTAATTTTATTGGCAGATGTATGATGAAATCCCCTGTACTACTTTGAAAACCTTACCCAACATCTACTGCAGGTATTTCCCTGGCCTGGGGGATGATTTTACATTAGTAACTGATGTATGTAATTGGACAGTGGTTCTGTAGGATGCACACAGATCCAGTCTGGTCCTCAAGCTTAAAACGGTCTGGCTCTGATCTCTGCCCTGCATTAAATTAACTGTGTTGTCTGTTGTCTGCTTAGGCTCTGGGCAATTTAGTGAGTTTGATACAAAGGAATAGCACTTCCACATGCCAAAAGCAGAGTTTGCGTTAGTCAGGTGCAGCCTCTTTTTTCCTTTTGATACAGTTTCATAGTTGAGTGTATGAAGCTTTGCACATTTCATGGCCACGTAGTTCCTGAGCTGCTGTGGTGTTGAACGTGACTTGTCAGCGCTTCTGTGCTGGGTTAGACATAGCTGGAGCTGCTGTGGAGCTACTGAATGAACCTGGGCATGGCACACCTGAGTTGCTCCTTGTGCTGCCCCAGCTCTCACTGTGTTTACTCCATGAATCTTGAGTGCTTCTGGGGAGGTGTTGTCATTCTAATCCCTTCAGGGTCACGAAGGATCATTTGGAAAGCATGGTGGGATTAATACAACCCGGAGACACAGCCTAAACCTGCTGATACCATCAGATTCATAGTCAGTGCCAGCTCACTCTCACTGCTGATATTCAGCAAGTGCAGGACGGCACCGAAAATTGAGGCACTTATCACTTTTATTAAATTGTGTGAGCCCAGGCATTTATTAATTGTGGAACATTTCCACAAACTATGAAGCAGTGTAGCAGTAGTGGTCTATTACTTTGAATGGTTGGATTAAAAGTATTTTATTTGCAACTCCAGACAGCGACTGTAGTTTCTTGGTGATGAACACATGCATTTTAATTCCACATTGATAATTTATGAAAGAAATTCAGAGTTGTAATTGAAACTGATATTTCTGCATCCATAACTTTGTTCTCAGCTTGTCTGGGATATTGTTAATTGTCAACATTTTATTATGTTGTCCAAAATTTGGAAGTGATTACATGCTAATGCTTATTTATATAGCAAAGATTTATTGCTAAATACATTGGAATTATACATGTGAACTTTGTCTTCAAATGACTTAATTGTATGTACACAAGAAAATAATTTTCTCTGTGTACTAGCTTCTGTTTTAAAAGCTGCCTTTTCATGTTGCTCTTGACCTAGCTTATAACCTCATTGGTAAATTAGTATTTACAGAAGTAAAACAACTAGCATGATTTTGCATAATTGTTCTCATGTATGGAAAACACTGTGCTTTAGCTGATTGAAGTTTTCTCTTTGTCAAATCCTGACAGCTAAAACCCGATGTAAAACATGCCTGTGTGCTGGCGTGGTATGGCACCAGATCTAGCAAAGGGCAGAGGTACCTTCCCAGCCGAAGGCAGCACGAATGTCACCTCTCCTGTGCTGTAGCTCGCAGCCCCAGCACACTGACATTTTCCTCGGCAGCCCACGCAACAAACTATCTTTAAACGACTGTCCTCTCGCACAGCATTGACTGCAGTAGCGCCCAGCGTTTCGTCCCATTTTGTAAATAATTTAAGAAATGGTGATCTCGGCCCTGAAGCTGTGATAGGATAAGAAATAGGGGTAACCCCCCAGCCGGGGGAGAGCGGGGCCGAGGCGGCGCGGCCCGGGGCAGCTGCTGCCGGCTCGGCGGGACCCGCCACCGGGGCTCCCCGCGGGCTGGGCTCACTCGCTGCCCACAGCAACCCGCGGCGGCGGGCACCGTCCCGCAGCGGCGTGCAGAACCGCACCCCGCGTCCCCCGCCGCCCGGGGCGCGGCCGAAGCGCGCTCGCCCCGCGGCTCGGCAGCGCCGGGCGGGAGCCGGGGGCGGCCGCGCGCCCCTGCATTGCCCTCCGCCGCCCAACCGCCACTCGCGCGCGCCCAACGGCTGCCCCCCGAGCGCTCGGGCGGGGCGGGGCGAGGTGCGGCCTGTACGCCGGAAGTGAGCGGCGGGCGGGGGGGGGGGGGGCCGGAGCGGCGGCGGGCGCCGGGGCGGCAGCGGCGTGGAGAGGAGCGGTGCTGCTCCGCTCCGCTCCGCTCCGCTGCCGGGCGGTAGGCGTGTTCCGCGCTTCGGCGGAAACAAGAAACGGGAAAGGAAAGGAGCGGCAGTGGGAACCGGTGTCAGCGGCCACCATTAGCGGCGGCAGGAGGAGGAGCGGCAGCAGCAGCCGCGGGGGGCTGCAGGCGGAGCGGAGCCCGGGTGCCGCCGCCGGCAGCGAGCGGGAGCGTGCCCGCCGCCTCGCCCTTCTGCTTTGTGGGGGGTCGCCGCTGCCCGCCATCCCGCTGGGGGCTTCCCCGGAGCCGGGGCGAGGTGAGTGGTGGAGCCGCCTTGTCGGTTGGGGTGTGTGTGTGTGTGTAGCACCGCCGGGGGAGCGGTGGGAGAGCCGGTGGTCGTGTGGCGGGCGGGCAGCGTTTCCTGCCGCTTCCCCTCAGGCCAGTGGCGGGGCGGGGGCCGCTGAGGGGCCGCTGCGGCCGGGGGCTGGGCGGGGGGGAGCGGGGCGAGGGTTTAAGGGCCCACGGGCTCTGTCCTGCGCCCCTCCGCGCCCCGAACATCATCGGGCGATTTTTTTTCAAGCCAGGCTTTGCAGTGCTGAGGACTGGCGGAGGGGTTCGGGGCGCGTGTGCCCCCCTCCCCCGGCTTTTCCCTGTGTGAGGCATGGCTCGGAAGAGGCTGGGAAGTAAACCGGGGATGCGCGAGGGATGTAGTCGGTGGCATCCAGACAATGTCAGCTTGGGTGAGTCTCCACCCTGTGGAGCTGCAGGCAGCCCGGCAAGCCTCCCTTTGCCACCCGGGGAACAAAACACCTTCAAATCCTCTTTCCTGGTGCAGCAGGTAAAGGTTGGTTTGGATTGTTCGTTATAATGTTTTGCTAAAAAAAAAAACCCAAAAACAACAACAACAAAAAAACCCACAAAACAACCCCAAACCTGAAATATTTCAAGCTTTGTAGCCTTATGACTTGCTGAAGTCAGGCTGGTTTGTAAAGAGCCTCCCAAACAAGGCTGGTGTCTGCATTGGTTTTCATGAGGATGAGGAGAGTGGTGTATTATTTTTTTTTGCATGGGGAGAATCACTGATGGTAGGAGGGAAAGGAGGAGTATCTGTATACATGAATGTCACATGATCTGTGTAAAATTCACATAGGTATGATTATTTTTCTCCTGCATTAATGCTAGTTGTTTTAAGAAGCCAATGACTTACCTGTCCATTTTGAATATTTGTATTTCTTTTGGATTTGTTATCTTGTGTGTCACCTGTGTGTTTGGGCATTTTATCTTTGTATTTTATCATTTATACTAGTGTTTCAAGGCTTTTTATGTTTTTACCTGCTTGTAGATATTCAGAAGGGGACAAACAGCAGTATGTGTAGTATAATTCCTCTTTTACTGGAGCAGTACAGGTACATCCAATGTGGCACAAGTATACTATTTCATATAGCTAATGTCTCTATGTTACCATTCATGTGATGGAGGAATGGGGAACTACTGTTTTCATGAGACTGTGGATTCACACCTGCTCTGTATTAAACAAATTGCCTCTTTTAGTCTATTCCCCCTCCCTCACCTGTCCTCCAATTAGCTTGTAAAACACCTTTCAGCTGAAACATGAATTTAGATGTTTACTGATGAACGATTTTAGATGTTTATTGAAACAATATGCCTAAACCAGAAAATATTCCTATTTTACTGTCTAATCAGCTTTTCTCTGCTGAGAAGTTTCCTGTTAAAATAGAGGAACAGAAAAAAATCACTTGCTAAATCATCACGAAGAACAAAAGTATAAGTTATAAATTCCAGTTCCAGGGAATTACTTTATGTGTAAGTTAAAGATGTAGGCATGACCATATTTAATATGCTGATACCCTTCCTGGGTGGGTGTGGTGGGTAGTGGAATATAGAACTGTTTTTCTGTACCTAATATTGGTATGTGGTTTTTCATATCAGTGGGTGCCACTCAAATAGAATACAGAAATCCACATTAAGGAGGCTTTTTGCTTTCATAGAACAAGGAGGTAAGTAGCACAAAGGAATTGATTTATTTCCCTTCTACAAATGTCATTTTCAGCTAGAGATTTCCTTAAAATGGCTTGGTTTCTAGACTCATATGATATGCAATGTAGAGTCCTACCACTGTTTCTCTGACTCAGCATGGCATGACAGAGATAAAAAAGTATTGGTAAGAGATAAACCACAGTTTAGGAAAGCAATGTAGTTTACCAGATGTTAATCTCTCAAAAGGATATAAAAAAAAAATGTGAAAAGTGACACCAATGAATTTCTATATAATCTTTAATCTGCCTTCTTTGCATAATATTTTGAGACCACTGCTTTCAGGTTTTAATTCAAAATAGTCTTTTTCTGGGGAAGTAGTGCATTGACATAAACTGTTTTGAACTGCCTATGTATTGCAGCCTTTTCCTTTCTTAATAAGGTAAGCCATGGTGCAGAGAACACCTGTTGGCTTAAACGAGTGTATGAGACAGCTGTGGTAACTTTTGTGGATAATGATTGTAGGCAGCTTGATTTTGAGAGACTTTATTTTTCAAGAGGGTGTCACAGTCTTCTGAATATGTGGATATTGCCTCCTTTCTCCCTTCCCCCAAACCACTGAAATTTTATCTGTGAAGCAATTGTATTGCTTCTTTATTTGAATTTTGCAAGAATGTGAACATGTTCTCCTTTATCTCTTCCTTCAGCATCAAGATTTTTAATAAAATCAGCTAGCTTTTCTAGCCAGAAATAGTTATTTCTTTGTGCTCTTAATTGAACTTCTCTGTTCTTGGCTTCGCTGTATTAATCTGATCTTTACTGGTCATACAACTTGCCTTCCTTCTTCAAATGTCTTTCAGCTGCTGGAAGGGAAAAAAAATAAAACTGGGACAGAGTTAAATCTGAGTGACTAAGCTAGTTAGGCAAATACTAAGAACAGTGCTGAAGATCCCAGTTGTTAAGTAATTTAGATCACATCCTTAGTAGTAGAAAAATCCAAATCTCTTGTGTTGCAAATGAAGCCAAAGATTGCAAAATAATCACACTGCTTTTTCTGTTAAACAATAGTTTTATTACTGAATTTTCAAGTAGAACTGAAATAATGTTCCACAGCTTCCCATTAACATCTGTTCATACTGAGGACCCTGCTGATTAAATCTAGAACTTGTTACAGGCACTTACCAAAGCCAAATATGTCCAACTTGTATTTCAGCCCCCAACGACAAACCAAATACTGATGGGTGCTTATTTTGTGATGTTTCACACCCTTTCTCTTCAACTGCTAGAAGAAAACATATGTTGATGTACAGCTGAATGGGGCAATCTCAGATAAACAAGCCTTATAAAAAGGGGCTATCCATATCTGTTTCATTGCTAAGGTTTAATAATATGTAGAAATGACATCAGACTGCTGAATAGTCGTGTTTAACCTGTTTTGATGTGGAATGTTAAACGTAACTTATGAAAGTGAAGTGGTAATATTGAGTAAGGCTTTTAAGGATTCAGAAAAATATCATAATTGTCAGTCACAGATTTTGAGTACACATGCTGAATGCGCTCCACCTTTAGGGATGTCTACAAGGTTAGGGAATGCCAGTGAAGAAACCTGCACTATAATTGCCTGTTATAATTGTTCTTCAGATTGGCAAGGGATTTAAGTTTCTTCTTGTTAATCTGCAAGCATTATCATCACTTAAAAACTGTGTTCATTGAAAATGGCATGTTATTTTCAAGAGGTTAATACTAGAAATTAGTAATAACTATCCAATTAAGCATATCAGTCCCTGTGAGAAAGACAAGTAAAATTCCTTGATGATTCAGGCTGCTAATAATCATCCTCGTAGTTGAAAATCTTATAAAGACTAAGAAAAGTATCTGCAGTGTATTTTTTATGCAACTTGATCCAGATACGTTGGCTGATACTTTCTGACTTTTCAATGAGCTAGTCACTTCTCTGTTTTGTCCTAAGTAGTAATTATAATTATTTGTTAGGATGGGCTTTAGTTGAAGTGTCTAATGTAAGATGTTATGCAGAATAATATTTTTGTTGAGCTTGCCTTTTTTTAAGATAGCTATTAATGAAGAACACTTGCAATGTCTAGTTCTGTGAGCTATCACTCTACTTGTTAGAAATTGTATGGAGGAAGATGATGTGCACAAGAGTTTGAAACTGGCTTGAAATATTAGGAAAATTATTTTTTGCTGTCTTATTTCATAATGAATTCTATAGAGACGACTGGGTGGGGGAGAAATTCCAGAGCTGCTATAAAAATAGTTTTAAAACTTTTTTTAGTCATAGAACATGATTTTTACCTGTACTGTATTTCTAGTCTCAGAAATTCATCAGATTAATTTCAACTGATGTAATCAGAAAGATGATTAAATCTTCATTGCCTCTGGTCTTTCTTTTTAGGAGAGCAGTCTGTAAGGTAACAGGTTTTTATACAAAACCATTATAGCGAGGCTGGTGAGGGATCTACTATACATGGTAACAAAACTGTTATGATATATTTACTTTCCTTGAGTAAATATTTTAAAGTGTTCAAGAACTCAAGTTGTTGATAAAAATGCACTGATGTTGCATAGAGCAAATGGTAAACTGAATGAAGATTGTTATCATCTTGTGTGGAAATGATCTTAAATCTCATCCCTTATTGGACTGTTAATGCATTGTTATAATGTCTAATTTTATATCTGCTGAAATGGTCTTGTGCTGTATAAGGATGTCAGTACTGTGTAAGTGTTTAGAATAGCAAGTTATGTTCATATACTAAAACAGAGTGTTTTTTTCCTTAAGCTATGTTAAGCACAGATCCATACCACCATACTGTTTCTTACCGTTTATCAAAGCACAATAGCTGATTTCTAGCAGATCAGATTTAGAAAGAAACAGGAGCAAGAAGTGATGTTTTTCTCCAGTTTCATGGCTCTGATCAGTTTTATTATTTGTGTCAGTATTGCATTTTCATCTAAAAAGTCTTGGAGAAGTTAAATAGAGAACCTGATCATTTCTCTTAAATGCATGTATGAAGTGGAAAAATATGCTAAATAAAACATATACTGAAAGGAGCTGGATGGAGACTAACAGGCATTCTTTGTCCTCTCTGATAACTTTACCCTTCAGAAAACTTTGGGAGCAGTTGCATGGGGACTGGCAGAAACTTCTGTTCAGACGATAGTGAGAGTTGAAGTCCACTGCCTATGGCTGGCATACCATCCTTTGATACTGCCAATTCTGTGATTATCTCGTCGTTCCCATTCCCCCAAAACAATTTGCTGTGTTTATAGGTCCTATAGTATTCCTGGGATATCTTTTTGTCC